GGGTGAAAATTATTGATAAGGGTCAGATTTTAACCTTGAGTCCGAATTTCACCGGCCAACATTTGGGAAGGTCCAAATATCTCTGCGGCGTTTCCTGGAGCATTATGATAACTTTTGACACTGATTTCAGGCTGATGGCGGAGATTCCGGTGACTCATCAGGTGGTGGCGGAGGTGGCTCAGGATCTGGCTCCATCCTCTCTCTGATTGGCCCGCTCCTAGGAAGCAGTGTAAGAAAAACTTGCCTTGTTTTAGTCCTAAGGAGCCACGAATCGCCGGCATTTTGCGAGTAACATTGGCGTTAACTTACCAAATTGCCATTGGACGTATTTCTGTCAAACAGAACTATGTGCATTAGGACATGAGCCTTGAGACCCATAAGAATATATGCATAGCAGGGCTCACGTCATAAAGCACATAGTTCCGTTTGACAGAAATACGTCTAATTATTCGCACTGCTACTGGCGTACCAGGGAAAAACGCCGTATGAACATTCAAGAATTGCCAAATGACCCCCGATAAAACGTTAGATTAGAAGAAGTTATGCAATTTTTTCCTTGGTATTTTCGGATATTTTAGAGTAAAGTGCAAATAAATTGTCTGAATAATTGGAGGAAACATATTCACAACTTTTCCGGTCAATTCGTGCTTTATCAGAGGAAATTTGGCAACGCCGGAAGGTTCATACGGCATTTTTCCTTAGCATGGTAGCATAATAGAAGATGCATAGGTGGATAACTTAAAACACACGACCTCGGCTCGGAGCGCCTTCAAATCTTGGTGATACTCGCCGCTTTGCCTGGCTGTTAGTTCAGTTGCCTATCCGAGCCAAACCCAACTGAGGATTTCACCGTAGGCATTTCGAGAGTGTGCTGGCCGGTATCATGTATCTAAAAAAGGAGTTCCAAGCAAAATGATCAGCAAATTCTCTTTTATTTCTTAACTTCTGCATATGATCATTGTTTCATTCAACACAAATAAATTGCAATTTTTCGGCAATTGCTAATTCTCTGCCGCATATTTACATATGTGAAGGAATGGTTTAATCACACCATTTTGGCAAAACTCGGTCTGTCACTCGAAACCTGAAACGGAAGGCAAAATGCGAATTTAAGAATTATAATTTATGTGCCCTCGTTACAATTTTACGTCAAACACGATTCGCACAGCGCAAGTGTTACACGGAAAAAAAACGGAATTGCTGATTTAACAATTATGTAGTTTAAAAAAGTGCCCAATATCTCAATGTAGATTTTACAACAAAAAAATGCTAATTTAATCACACCCGAGGTTGAATCAGATTTCCTTTATTGTAAAATGCACATATGAAACATGTCGGGCATATTTTTCAACAATTTAATTGTTAAATCAGCGATCCATTTTTTTCAGCGTAACTTGCGCTGTGCCGATTACTTCTAAAATTACTACAGTGTCTGATATGAAACCTTGATAAAATCGCAATACATTCTTCGATCAAATCGCAACTTATCGCGATTACTGCTACTAGGGTGGCTTGGGATCCAACGGTGATTGCCCCCGAACTTTGGACAGAAAATTACCGTGGACCGCGATGTAAGCAGTGTAAACAAATCGAACATTTCCACCACCCTGTTTCTGCTCTTTGAGACTATCGAACTGTCCCGTCAAAATTTGGCGGGTCCGAAAACAATGAGACTATCGAACTGTCCCGTCAAAATTTGGCGGGTCCGAAAACAATCAGGCGGAAGCACACTTGCCCCACTTGGTAGCCTAAGATCAAGGCGTAAAGTGGCGCGATTCTTTGGCGCTCGGTGACACAATACCGGGTTGGATCAAGACTGCAACGCGATAGCGGTCGTTGACAGGCGAGTAGCGAAATGACCGAATAACGGGAGAAGTTGTAACAAATGAAATCTCGCGAAGGGCAGGGCGGGGACCGGAGAACAGGTTTGCATTAATATTCCACTTTCGGTTTCATCGCATTGCGCAGGTGTCAATTCCAAAGTGCTCCGTCCTATTCGTGCACGCTCGCAAAAATTTTAGCTTCGCTCCGTGATCTGGCAACGCCGCAGCTTATGCGAACGACCGACCTTGCTGTCTCGCCATCCAAGCTCTGTTGCATCATTAGACTGAAATCATTTCGAAGTGATACTTTCCTCCTTTCAATTTTTCTATTTTCATTTTCTTGTCTTGTTGTGATAACAGCAATATCCGACGTTAGGCGTCAGGGTCTTAGCCAGTGGCGTGGCGTTCTTTGCGATATATCGATTGATCTCCCACTCAAACCTATGGGATAGGATCGATAAACAAGGTGTTCACAACGAGCACCTCAATGATCGATTCTTTACCATTGCTTCAATGGGGAAATATCGATAATCGATCATTCACGCCTCGCCACTGGTCTTAGCTGACGGGGGTCTAAGAGGTGCCTAACATGTACGTGTCAGAGGGTGGAGGGGGGGGGTTTAAACCTGTCGTCTGGTTTTAACTACCAATTGGATTGCATTTTGCAAAAAGGAACCATTAGCATTGCAATGATTCTAAGATTGTGCAACTTCATCTTTTGCAATAAAATTGCGGAAATCGTGAAAAACTATGAAATTTAGATGGTAATTTTTGTCTTAAATTTACAGTTTTTAGCGAGTAAAATAAAAACTATTAAGGGATAATCGGGTTTTTCCTCCAAGACAAAAGAAGTTGCACAATCTTATCAACATTGCAATGCTAGTGGTTCCTTTTTGCAAAATGCAATCCAATTCTAACCTCCTTAAACCTGGAAAGTTTAAAGTGGACCAGTAGACAAAGCACAAAAAGGCTTAAATTTTAAGCATGCTGACACATGTTTCTTATACAGAATTTAACTTGGAGAACGATTCGCGCGACGAAAATTACGAAATCAACTCTTTTCTAAGAAATTAACGTGCTCAGTCTACATTGGTTTCAAGAAGTCGAAATTCCCCGCTCACAAGGAGAGCTATAGTCTACTTGAATCAAATCGTGCACTGTATGTACAACAGTTCTTAATAGAGCAATGTTCACTCCCCTCCTTGTATTGTTCAAGTGGTAACAATGTGCAACAGCCTAGCCAAAGCACCGAGATTCAGGATGCCAACTTTCATACCTTAGAGACTGTTGTACACGGAAAAAAATTAAATGTTGATTTAGCATTTATACTGTTAAAAAGATGTCCGACAAGTTTCAAATGCTGATTTTGCATTACAAAAATGCTAACATAACATTTAAATTTGTTCGTTCTGCAGTGGGTGTAGTTACGTTAGCATTTGTTAAAGTGTAAAATCACCATTTGAAACTTGTCGGACATTTTTTAACAGTATAAATGCTGTATCAGCATCTAATTTTTTCCCGTGTACGGTAACATTCATTGGGCGATTTGACACACGTATAAACTTTTGTTATATTCATGAGCGGAAGGCTTGAAGTTACGCATGAAGAAAATTAGAAATCTTGGTTAGGAATCAATCTCAGTAATGTTCGTCGCGCAAACCCTGTATTACGTGAAATTTGGGATAAGAAACATGTACCATTTTGCTTAAAATCGCAACTTGTCGACAGTCATCGTCCATTGTCATACCTGCGCGTTAAAGTCACCGTAGACATCCCGTGAACCAGCCGCGCTGATTGTGAGGTACAGAGAGTCGTCGAGTTCAAAATTCTATCCTGAAAAATAAAAGCAACGCAAGTCCATCTGAAAATTCCACTTTTGCCCAGCAGGCCTGTTTAAACAGGTCCTAAAAATGTTGGCTCATTCGAGAGCTCCGTTCCAGAGGTTGACGGGTGAGAAAGAAATTGAACTTTCACTATCCTCTGTTCATTGAATTAATTAAAACTGTGCAGGAAGAAAAACTTTGGTTCAGACGGGACCAGAAGCGTTGTGCGCTTTGCGATGTATCGATTGATCTGCCATTTAAGTCTATGAAAAAATATCGATAAACAGGGTGTACGCTGCGAACACATAAAATAATCGATGTTTTACCATAGCTTCAAATGGGGAAATATCGATAATCGATCATTCGCGTCTCGCCACTGATACGGATCCGACATATCACCATTATTTCGCCCGATTGAATTTTATTGGCAACACTGCGGAGGGTTGCGACGACACATATTTACTTAGTCGAGTGGAATTCAGCCCATGCTCTCGGAAAACGGCAACTTAAAATGCACGCACTGCGTTGCGAATGAAGCTTTGCAATGAGTTCAGTACCGCGCCTTGCTTACTCTCGGTTTATATTACCCCACCCACTCTTCCCACCTTCCCTACCCCTTAGTGAGCTCCAATCTTCAATGAGATCAAGAATATGATTTATGGACAAATATTCGTCGGGCACTCAATCGTCTTGTCAAGAGAATTCTATGCTTCACCCGAGGTGTGGTAAACTGATTTAGGAAGATGACGCAAAGTACAGCTGATAGCTAAGAGATCAATGTTTTCATAGAATACGGCTCAGAAAATATATGAGTTCATCAAAACATGGTCAAATCTAACAATTTCTGAACCTATTTTTGTCTCCAAGTAAGTGGTGGTGCTTTGCGCTTTATCAATTGATCTTCCCTTTAAACGTATGGAAAAGGATAAATAAACAGGGTGTTTGCAACGAACACCTTTATGATAGATTCTTTTCCATTGCTTCTGAGGGGGAAATATCGATGGTCGCGATCATTCAAGTCTCATCACTGCTCGCCTTTTGAGACTTTTTGAGACTGCGCACAGTGGAACAATGTTGGGACAGACCAGGCATGGAATTTTTGACTAAAATTGCGATTTTTCAAGTTCATTTATAGTTTCAAGTTACTTCATAAATCTTCGATAATGCTTTTTGAAATATATTTATAGTTGTAAAATTGAAATTGGAAAAAAAAACACTTTTAAACTTCTAAGTTTTTCAGAGAAACAAAAATATAAATGTTTAAAGCTTCCACGTCATGTTTGACCTCTCCTATGGGACACTGGAAAAAAAAACACATTGGATCTAGAGTCCAGACTCTTGAAAACATCGACAAGAAAAAATACTCTTAATTCAATCAGATCTAAGTTTAAATCAAGAACCAAGCCTCTTAATTCGAGCGGATTTCCTTTCGATTTAAGCTTAAATCTGATTGAATCAAGAGTCCTTTTTCTCGTCAATGTTTTCAAGAGTCTGGACTCTGGATCCAATGTGTTTTTTTCTTCCAGTGTATGGAATGCTCGACTGCGCGAAGTAAGTCAACCCCATTCTCTGTTTTCATTTATGTTTCTGTTTTGCGTTTGCAGAGCGGCGGCGGCGGAGGCGGAGACGGCGAGGACTCTTCCGGTGGAGGCGGCGGAGGCGGCGGTTCCGACTCGGGCTCCATCTTGAGCTTGATCGGGCCCCTCCTCGGGAGCAGCAGCGGAGGCGGCGGTGGCGGCGGAGGAGGCGGAGGTGTCAGTGCCGGCGCCTCGGTAGGCGGCAGCGTGGGCGGAGACGTAAGTAGCAGTATTGAGCCCTGAAAAAGCCCCCCGCACATGCCTTGTCGAATGCCCCAATCACCGGAATAAAAGCACACACAAGTGCCCCGACTAATTACAGCTTTCAACTCAAGCTATGCTGGACCCCCTAACTTCAAAAACCATCTGGGATCGATTTTCGAAATTGATACAGGCAGCCATAGACAAAGAATCAATGGAGCGATCAAATGGACCAGTAAACAAGATGCAAACGTAAGCAATTTGGCATACGTTCACTGGAAAAAAAAGTCGCTTGGATCTAGAGCCCGCACTCTTGAAAACCATGACAAGAAAAATTAGTCTTGATTCAATCGGATTTTTCCTTGAATCAAAAGGAAATCCTCTTAATTTGAGAGGCTTGGTTCTCGGTGTAAGCAAAAATCCGATTGGATCGAGAGTAATTTTTCTTGTCAATGTTTTTAAGAGTCTCAACTCTAGATCCAAGCGACTTTTTTTTCAATGTTGCTTAACTAAAATTCTATCTGGAAATGGACTCGCTCAACGTAAATAACTGAAATAAACTTCTAAGATATTAACGTGTTTAGTTAACATTGGCTTCGAGAAATTTGAACTCCTCCCTCAGTAGAAAAACACTAATCTACTTGTGTCAAATCGTGCACTGCAACAGTTTTGGCAGGCTTCTTAATCGAGCAATGTTCCCATCCCTCCTCGTGTTGTTCAGTGTTAAAAACGAGCAACAGCTGAGCCGAGGCATAGACATTGAAGCTATGGTAAGGAACCGATTATTAAGGCGTTCGTTGCGAACACCCTGTTTATTGGCCAATTCTATTCTATGGCTTTGTCTATCAATTTCAATCATCAGTCCGCTGGCTACCATTTTTGACCCGGTTAGCATCCATGAAGTTGTTCAAGCATCTTTTAATAGTAACAAGTCACCGGCGGAACTAGGGGATGATCTCTCCCCTTCGAAGACTACTCGGTCCCTTCCGAGGGCGAGGATTTTGCGAAACAAAGGCGTAGCATAACTCTCATCTTTGATATCGAATGTTAATCGAATCCTCGATAAGATGAACTCAAATTTTGTCTTTTTCCAGAGGAAGGATCTTGTCCTCATTCCGTCGTTGTAAAATTATTTCACGGAATTGATTTTTCAACAAGGAAATGGATGTCTAATATCCGTCTTCGTTAAATTCCTCCCGTAAAATTAGGTAAAAAATCAGTGGAAGGTAGGCTTAATAGCCTAACTGTGGGTCCAGCAGTAGCTCTTTTTCCCTGAACGCTTATCAATTTTGCAACTTTCACAGCTGCAAACTGAAACCAACTTTCTCAAAAACTTGCGTTGGACAAGCACAATTATTTTTTTTAAATACACGATATTCATAATTTTGTTCCGACACTGCATATTTTTATTAATTTATTTTTAACCGTTTTTTACTGCATTTTTCTTTTATGCTTCATAACACTTTTCAAAATTCACAGACTTCAAACTCCGGCATTTTTTATTTTCTGTTCATTCGTATATTATCTGAGTATAATTACTGTTTTTGACATCAGAGCACTGATAAATTCTACAGCAAAGTAAATAAATTATAATCCTGAGGAAAAGGGAAAATTTAAAATTTAAGACTAGCTATGTAATCAGTAAAATATTTAATTTGATACCAATGATTTCTAATTTAAGAGCGAAAGAACCAAAATAAGTATTGCCTGATTTCATCAAACAATATCAGGCAATTAGTTAAGAGTAGATGTAGCGACACGGCTACGATTCCCATCACCGTAGATGACAACATTTTTTCTGTGGAGAAAAAAATGAGCACAAGATAATAATCAGAAAAATGGGAAACATTTAATATTGTGGTTAAGTTGATTACGTCCAAAATTCACGTCGAATTAAATCAATATAAAAAAAAATCTGTAAGTTAGCCCCTACTGTACGATCAGCTTTAAAATTTGAAAGCTCAAGTTCTCTGAATGTAAATAATTTAGATTAAACGCATGACCATGCACAAAATCATTCGATAAGCCACTTACTATCTTACATTCTTTTTTCATTTATTCCTCATTGATATAGTACTTCGGCCTTATGGGGGCCCTTTTAGTTTATGAGACGTTTGGTATCAATCGCAACTATAGTTACAGAAGCTAATTAATTTTAAAACGAATCTTTAAATCCTTAATCTTCATAAAATGAATATTTCCCAATAATCGCTCTTTAGTCCACGTTTTCATTCTCTGAGTTATGTTGCCTAGAATATGTTCCTTGGGATTTATTTTAATTTTGTGACTCACAAGGTATTCTAGCCTACATATACAGGGTGATCCAAAAGTCCCTTCCACCCCCTCTAACTTTTTACCTAATTGAGATAAAAATTTGAAACTTGGGGGATATTCCTAGGTCAAAGGGAGCTACTTTTCGGCCCCCCTAAAATTTTCAGGGGGGCCCCCCTTGGATGGGCAACGGCCCCCAACTTTGAATTTTCAAATGGGAAGACCCCTTTTGTGATAGCTCGTTCGAAAGAGCATAAAAAAAGAAAACTTTTCGCGCAAACTCGAAGTCAATATCTCAAACCGTTTCAAAATGGCGGCCGGTTAAAGTTGAAAACGGCCGAAATTTCACACCGCGGTTATTTTTCGATGGATTTGCGCGAAAATCGATATGTTGGGGTATTTTGACACGAGAAAAACGAATTTGACGTTAGATTTTCAAAAAAACCGAAATTTCCCAAATGGCCGCCGGTTAAAGTTCAAAATGACCAAAAATTTATTTTTTTTATAAATCTAAGTTCATATTTGTTTATCTTATGCCAAAATACTCTCAAATTCCAAGTTTTAGGCAAATCCATCAGGAAAAAACCAAGGTGAAAATTTTCGGCCATTTTAAACTTTAACCGGCGGCCATTTTGGAAATTTTGGTTTTTTTGAAAATCTTACGTCAAATTCGTTTTTCTCGTGTCAAAATACCCCAACATACCGATTTTCGCGCAAATCCATCGAAAAATAACCGGTGTGAAATTTCGGCCATTTTGAACTTTAACCGGCCGCCATTTTGAAACAGTTTGAGATATTGACGTCGGGTTTGCTCGAAAAGTTTTCTTTTTTTATGCTCTTTCGAACGAGCTATCACAAAGGGGGTCTTCCCATTTGAAAATTCAAAGTTGGGGGTCGTTGCCCCCCCCCTCCCCCCCAAGAGGGGCCCCCTGAAAATTTTAGGGGGGCCGAAAAGTAGCTCCCTTTGACCTAGGAATATCCCCCAAGTTTCAAATTTTTATCTCAATTAGGTAAAAAGTTAGAGGGGGTGGAAGGGACTTTTGGATCACCCTGTATATTCACAAACAATAAATAACTTTTTTAGAGAGGGGGCATGTTGTTTTATCCTCTAGTGGTTTCGGAGATTACCTTTTGTTTTCGAATATTTTTTTTTAAAGTTGACGGGAACCGTGAATTCTATTTTGGAGATTATGTTTATGACTAAGAAAAAAACAAACAGAATTTGATCACCGGTAAAATGATATCAACATTAAATTACCTCATTATAAATTTATGAACCATTGTGGTTCACACAAATTTCAAAGTTGTACTTTGAGTACGCTACAGAGCACTCATTGCTTTTTCCCTTCGGGTCATTGCACAATATTCTCCATCAATTTAATATTTTCACCCAGTAATTTTGCCCTTGAACATCCTTTATATTTTCTGTTATCACACATACACATACATGTTCGTACATGTGTGTGTTTCTATACATGTTCGTTCATTATTTCACCACTCTGTTCAGTCTCATTTGACGATGGCGTCATTTTATGTTGTGAATACTTTTCTTGAGTCTACAATTTTCCGATTAATGAATTGAAAAGAAAGTATTACACAATTTATTTTTGCAAAGTTTCTAAATCTCATTTTTTTTTACAAGAACGAGAAATTGAAAGTCTAGGTGACCGCTTTATCATACAGATTAAATCGTTGATAGAACTTATATTCGTTGTAAATTGCTACTTTATGTATTTTTTAGTGTTTTAATAAAATAATTTTATACCATCACGGGCGTTGATTATTTCTATCAAATTTAGTCAATTATCAATTATATATTATAGTCAGTTGATTTGAAGAATATTAAACTCAAGTGCTCGTAATGAACAAGAAAGAAATTTTGATCACTAGTGATTGTTGATCACTTTGATTGAACTCTTTGATCGAGCAGAGTGATCGATATTAGTTGAGGAATTTTTGTTTACATTTTGCGGGAGAGAGAACATTTGGGGTGTGAAAAAAGCAAGACATTAAGTACATTGATGTGAATGCAGAATGAGAATATAATTTAGTTAAGATTACTCGTGCAATATTCAACGTCCGTTATTATTAAGTATCAGCATTGTATCTTTGCAATACCTCAAAACTTTTTAGAGAGGAACGCAATAAGATTACTTGGAACTGTAATACATTATGATGATACAAAATACGCGGTAGGTCCTACTGATTGCGTTGTAAATAAAGAGCTCAATTCAGTTTTCAACAAATTTAATGATTTGACTGTTCACAAAAAATAGGAGAGTATCAGCAATATATATTTCGTTTCTGCCTGTTTTTTTTTTGTTTCTTCAAAAAAGAATTATGAACTTTAAATCCAAGAATTTTTATTTGACTGTATGCATGGACAACTTCAAAATATGACTTTCCTTTCAAGCGAAAATTTCTTGAAAGACCGGCGAGCTAATAGTGCGAATATCGAGCACATATTTGTATATCACCTCATCCTCATCAATTTCAACATTATTAAAATAACCATCCAAAGGGTGACAAATGTTTGCCTGAATTTTCAATCGTCTTTCTGCTGGAGAAGTTGGTGTAGGTTAAGGAACGATGGAGGATTTTATCCCGAATGCATCAGAAGAACTCGGGGGTGGACATGGTGCGATGCGTGGTCCTTTTGGTATGCAATCTTATGGTTTTGACTTAAAATTGGTTATTGGGTGATGTTGGTGGTGGTTTACATACCTCTCTTCAAACCCTAGCATTCAAGTCATCTGGAATATCTTCAAACACATGGTAAATATCTCTCTACATATTATCACTCGATGATGGGTTATCTATAAATTGTGAATGACATCAGTACTTAGACAGTCGATTTTTTGTTCCTTTAGTTGATTTCCATAAACTTAAATTGAACGACAGAATCCACTCCGAAAAAAGAATGCGTTGCCGGCCCGACCAGCAATACGACCATTTTAAACGTCACGCTCTAGCTGCTCTGCGGTGTTAAGGAAGAACGCCGTATGAACCTTCAGGCGTTGCCAAATTTCCTCTGGCAAATCACTAATTTTCAGGAAAATTTTTGAACATTTTCCCGCCGATTTCTCGGATAATTTTTTTCGGAACTTGATCTAAAGTGTCTGAAAATTTCGAGGAAAAATATTCATTACTCTCCTCAAAAATGAACATTTTATCGAAGGAAATTTGGCAACTCTCAAATGTTCATACAGCGTTTTTCCTTAGTACGGCAGTGCTGTAGTCAGTAGTGCGGCGTGAATGATTGATTATCGGTACATCCCCATTTGAAGCTGTGGCAAAGAATCGATTAAGGTGTTTGTTGCAAACACCCTGTTTATCGATCTTTTTCCATAGATTTAAATAGCAGATCACTTTGGCACACGTACTTTGGCTGAATTTGAATCGCTAAAGGATATTTTGTGTCAGGCTTGTCATGAATAACTTAATGAGCCGCATATTCAAAATTAGGTGTCAAATCTTATGTGAGAGGTACAAATGATCTAATTAGATTCATGTTACAGCAGAGTTCTTTCAAATAATTAATAGTATGGAAATACTTAAAACCAATTCACGGAGAGAATGCAGCAGAGTCGGAGTGGAAAAATGAATACGCAACTCAATTAATGTCCACATTCATGGATGACCCACATCTGTCTAAGATTACACAAATAAAATTATACTTTCGATGGTACCTTTTTCTTCTTGTTGATTAGTAGCGTTGTCTTTTTATTAAAAAACAATGAACATTCAGATCATTCTGACCATTATCAGGTTTAAAAGTATGCACACAGAAAAAAAGACAACATGAATCATAACGAAAACACGAGAGCTATAACTCAACCACAACCGGTGCTTTCACAACTCAAAACTTATCCAACAATAAGTCAAATTTGCTCACTAAATTTTGGTTAACGGAGGCTCGTAAAATATAAGTTTTCTTTTTTTCGTTTTAACGCCAATTTCCGTTTTTTATGCATACGTTTTCAATCAAATGATATGCCAGAAATACTGACATGCGTGATGTTTCGTAAAAGTTACAGCCTTACTAATTAACAGGAAAAAAATGAATGTTTTCCTTTTCCTTCTCCAAGGGTCAATCCCGTTGGAGAAAAATCACCAAAAATAAATGAAATCATCTTTTAACTCTCAAATTGTTCTTACATATATACCCCAAAAAAACCCTGATCCTTGAGGTTTAATTTGTTAATATATCATTTTAGTTTGTTTTGCAGTTAAATCGCTCCCAGGGATCTTACTTTACAATAACGATATGAAATTCAAAGATCTATGCACTACACTACACCCTCGAGCAAAATTCGGTTACTCTATTTATTTAAGATACAAACCTTACTTTGTTTGTGCATGTATACTCCAGAAAAACTATCGTGAAAGATAGCTGGAAAACAAAAACGCAACAAAGCATCTCTTGCATGTTTTGATACGAAGGAAACGCATTTTTCTCTCTAGCGTTCTTACCTTGCATCACTTTAATATTGTTTGTTCATTTACCTTTTTATTTTTTTGGACAAAGAAAAAAAACATTGGCGTAAATTTTGAAGAAAATTTATTGAAGATTAAACAATTTCACTCTTCAAAGTAACCTTATCCTTTCTCAAGGCCACAAGAATGATCTTAGAAAGTCATGAAGTCGGGTAAGTATTATGAAAGTGCGTGTATAGCGTTATTCCTTGGAAAAACGTCCTCAATGGATTGAAGTTACAAGTGAGCTTTCGATGGATACTGAAAGGGGTAATTTATCAATCTCCTCATATTATAATGAGATATCGTATCAAAAAATATTTCATAAGCCTGGAAACGCGCTTGAGGCTGGTTTAAAGTCAAAGAGCTGAAAAGTATGTCTGCCGACAAATAACGACCATTGATTGTTTGGAGAAAAAGTTTTTACCTTCGGAATTTTTCACGTAAAGAAAGCAGTGGAAGAGATCAATCATGTATCAAAATACCTTCATCAAAGTAACAGAATGAAAACCACCAGAGCTGCACAATTTTTTTTTTTTTTAGAATACCTGAACAGTTCAATTTATTTTCATCAGAGTATAATTTTTTTCGATTCATGATCCATTTTTAAATTTTATAATATATCGGCCAACAACTAATCTTGATAGAGACTGTTAAAAATAAGATCTTTCATGATTACTCTCTAGTCTCACAAGAATTTTGACGATTGAAGGAGAATCGATTTCGAATCTGTTTATTTATTCGAATTGTTTAAAACAATGACCGTAAAATATCAATAAAATGAGAAAAAACTGAACTTGAACTTTTGAACGGTTTTTCTGGTATCGTCGTCCTAATTTGTTTCTGGTTGAGAATTGATTTTATTTATTTTTATTATTTACAGCAACTGTTCACATCAAAAGACCCTATCAGCTTAGTTGGCGACAAGATTCAACTAGGATTAAGGGTAAGTAGAACCATTTACCCAAGGAGGTCTGAAAGAACATTAAAAGCAACAACAAAAAATGATGGTTTTACTTTAATTTACAAGTATCAATGCAAAGCCATAAAGTGGATTTGTTGACAACTTATTCGATTGATATTTACCATGATTTACGCCTTGAAAGGTTTCGAATTACAATTTCAAGAAGTTTTTCATCAACTTTATGAGTAATTTGTCAAAATAAGAGTTTGATTTGAGTAGAAGAGTGTGACCCCAGGGGTTACTGATTGGGGAACACAGTTGCAGGGTGTTTTTTAGTATAAATGTAGATATATATTAATTTTAGCCTACATACACTTAAGTATCAACATCAGCCGTCCTATATTGGCTTTAACAATAGTTTTTTTTTCCTATCAATTTTCAAGTAGCCCATGTAGGGCTTATTCCAGAGGAGAATTAAGTTAAATCCGCACGGATTTAAAAAGAAAAAGAAAAAAAAAAAAAATCAGTTGACGCAAGGAACAACGCCTTAAGTCAAAGTAATAACCCAAGAGCTTTATTTTCAGTGCAGACTAAATATCTTTGAATTGATGGTTTTAATGATTAGTCATGGTTATATTGCAACTGTACAACAAAAAATATGATTTCTCATTTGCAATAAGAAAGATTGGATGAGGCTAGGTTTCTCCAATATTGCAGAATACATATCTGTCATCGAGATTGTCTATTGAATTGTTTGCTCTCATGTAATGAGACACAGTAAAGAGTTAACACTCTCTCTTCCACCACCTTGTGGAATAGGCGCTAAAAGTGTTGGATAAATAACCACTTTGATACCCATTAAGAAAACTCCTCACATGGTTAATGGGAGCGAACTTGGTCCGCTCTCAGAGGCAGGATCACATTCACCGAAATGTGTCTGCAAATTCAAATGCTATTTTTGCTTTCAGGTCAAATTCGCTTTTCTCACAAAGATTTTGCAGTCGATAACTGGAGTCCTGGCCTCCTCAACTCAAGCCCAGTCAGAAAAGAACGGAATGCTAGTGTACCCACCGCCTAAAAAAGGGCTTTTCTAGGAGAACTTTAAGTCCAAATTTGGGTTTCACGGATAGATTATGATCAATTTTGAAACAGAATTTTTCAGAACCGAAGCCCCGTATTACCAAAAATATGAATGGAAAACTGCCAAAAATTCAAAAACAATTTGTGAAAATGTCCGTAGTTTTTTGTTCTGGGGATCTCGACCCTAATATTTCGTATCCTCTGCAATCAATGTTTAAAATTGGTTGAAAGCACTTGTTTTCCTGTATTAAGAGCTTTTAGTAAACTTTCGCATCATGGACTGATTGACGTAATAGAGCCAAAATGACTTCTTAAAGGAACGATGGTAACTCTTAAATCTGTACCTGAGATTTCAACACAAACCTTTATGAACTCTAATTTTCATATAAATAAAAAAAATAGAGAAACGAAGAAACAAATACTGAAATACACTCAAGTCACAATCAATGTCCATTCAAAAGATTGCGATTAAGTTTTTTTCTTGTTTGTGTTTCCTCCATTACGTCTTTTTTCAAATTATTGTATATTACATATATTTTTTATTCATTTAATTTTTTTTGCGGACGGCCACATAAAAGAAAAGAAAAAATCCGATTAGGCGGTGAAATACCAAACTACCAAACAGGGAAACGCAATTACTAAGAACAATTATCAAATAGACTTATACAAAAATCCTAGTAATATTTATTTTATATAAATAAGATAATGAAGAATGGGTAATATTTACCCCTAAGCAAAGCCGGTTCTTGTCTAGTTATAATATGTTCACTTCTTGCCGAAGTTAGTATTCGAGCTTTAACACGTTTTGTAAATGAGACGGGCTTTAGATATAAAACCTCGTGTTTTTAATATAACTTAGAGAAATTTTCCGACAGCTTGAAAACCTTTTTGTAAATACGCTCTAGTTTGTAACATAGTTTCCTTTAAATTAGTCTAGAATAGGAAAAGCTTTATTCTGTAAGTTATTCAGAGCGTAGTTCCTGACCGAATCTTGCCAGCCCGAAGGAAAGTTTTGTTTCGCGATAATTCTATGTTTTAAATCAACGCAGGGTTATGAAAATTATTGCAATATTTTTGGAAATAAGAACAGAGCAAACGAGCAATGATTAGTTCTATTCAGTTAAAGCCATCAGACTTATTGTCAGCAGAGTTTTTCCCTTTTTATATCCTGACGATTCTAAAGACTTGATCTTTCGTCTAACATTCCCCCTGAAAAAAATATCTGGTTTTCATATCGTTTGATAGAGGATATAAAACAATTCATTGAAATTTTTAGAGAACGGTGACGAATTTTGCGTGTTTTGACACATTCTGAGATCATCTGATACTTTATTGCGTAGTAAGACGTATACCATTCCCCAGTATTCATCATTTGAAAATTATAGCTATTACGCAAACCATATAGAAGGTTGACTGAAGAGTAGCGCTAGCCCCTTGCTAATCAAATTATACTCTCTCAGACTTTGCGAAATAAATAAACTCTGAAATTGACCTCTCCTACCTTTTGAGTAGAGTTGAAATGGAACGAAATAAAAAATTAGCAAACCAAAACACCACGAAACTGTAAACTTTAATTTTTTTTCTAGCATCCTTACTTTATTTTTTAGAGGAAGATTTCTACCCCGAGCTAGAAGTTCTGTTACATCACTACGACCCAATATGTAACTTAAACATCATTTTAAGCACACGTGGTTCGACTAATGCCGCTGTGTGGCAAAACATGTTGCTCAAAAATAGTGTTAACTAGTGTTTCAATTACAATGGAAGTTTTTAGTGTTAAGTTTTTGTTTTAAAAATCCTATTCCTAGGCAAAGTCTAGAAACTTTAAATTCGTATGATTAGGATAAATATTTGTCATTTTTAAGATTCTAATTTCGTAGCTTAGCTTTACATAAAATCATTATCTATAAGGGCACTCCATACAATAGGTTATTTATATAGTGTTCTAGGTAACAGTAACTCAATATGTCACGTGTACGTAAAGTCATTAAGCGTAAGTATAACGTAATTAAACATGTACTATAAAATTAAATTTTGATTTTTTTTTATTTTCTCCTTTCTTCAACCAATTGATCTTACTTATGGTGTTACTACAAGTCTTACTTACATTTTCTTTTTTATGGAAAGTGGGAACTGTCAATTTTACATTTAATTTGCGATAGCTAAAATTGTGTTTATGGAATATCCAGAAAATGCGGAGAGGTGATTCTGAATTGTATACAACATTGAAAATAAATATGGAGCAGGTATCAAACGAACAGTCAAAAAGTATTGATGGAAACAGTCTTTTGAGTCATGATACTGAAAAAAATCAAAGAAACGATAATTCTAGCTGAAACGTTAATGAAGATATTGCCAATTTGTGAGATAGTAAAATTAAGTCAGCATTTGACTATTCTTACACTGCCGTGCTAAGGGAAAACGCCGTATGAACCTCCAGGTGCTGCCAAATTTTCTTTAATAAAACAGGAATATCCTGGTAAACTCATAAATATTTTCCTTTCAAGTTTTCGGATAACATTGTTCGCAAGGAGTAATATTCATTACTTTCCTAAAAAATAAACATTTTATTGAAGGGAATTTGGCAACTCTCGAAAGTTCATACGACTCTCCTTAGCACGGCAGTACGGTATCCTACATTTACTTCACTAATATGTACATAATTCTCGTCAATATATCTGTTGATAAAATGAGTGCGTTCACAAGCAGCTCCTGAGGAAGGAATTGTAAGTACTCCTGCGTTGGAGAGCTGTATCAATTCTAAATGAAGGCGTATCTTACGTCGTAACGATCCTCGTAGTCTTGGATGTCCGTGTATCACATTTCAGTTTAGCATCCTTCTTCTTATTTTTTGTGTCTTCTGGTTTGATTTCCTTACTTCTAATGGACTGTTGATTGCTGGAAAGAGCGACGCCAAGAATGGCACAATTTGGGTCGGCGGGGATTTTTTGGAACTGCACACAGCTTTATGCACAGGGGCCCAATAAGAACATTTACAGCCAAAACCCGTCAAAGGTGCAAATTTTTCGTCTTTTTTTCCCGTCTTTTTGCTGTAAAAATGCTGTCCAGAATGATGGTGATTTGGCAACTTTGCCCCTCATTTTCTCAAAAACGGTGCGTATACTCAAGCTAAAATTTTTACCAGAGTTTTAGGGTATCATAAGGTATCGTTTAGGCCCTGTTTCAGAAAAATCCTCGCTGACCCAATTTGTGCCGAGAAACGGTCGCTTTTGGCGTTGCTCTTTGCAGTGGAGTAACGATTGATGGGGTTTGCAGTCACCGTGTGCTTTTGAAAGCTGGAGGAAATGTTATTTGATCAATACTGCGTGCTTATGATTTTTTTGGCAATCTCAAAACAGGAACCGCACCACCGAGTCTCCAAAGCGAAACTTATGATGACTTTATGAAAAGAGTTTGCACTTTACGTCTCTCGACATTAGAAAATGAGAAAGAAACTTTAAAAGGTATGGATACTAATTTAGAATCTTTGAAGTCCTTTAACTTTGAATTTTGACAAGAAAATAAATATCTTCAAGAAAGTAAAAACGCAGGTTTTCTAACACTTCGGAGAAAAATTCTGCACAACATGTTGAATTGTGATTATATTTATCAAAATTATGAAGAGCATATTCTGATCTCACAAAAAGCTGATATGACTCTCATAAATTCGTGTGTGATTTTTGAATTATAAAGTGTGATATATAATGTATACATATATAAAAAAGTTTCTTTTTCCGATGACTTCAGCCTCATACATGCAAATAAAGCAAATTAAGCATTGACTGTGAACAACGCCGAGCTCGTGGCGTGAGTGATCGATTACGATATTTCCCTATTTGAAGGTATGCAGAAGAATCGATTATTAAGGTGTTCGTTGCGAACACCCTGTATATCGATATTTTTCCATAGCTTTAAATGGCAGATCAATCGATGTATCGCAAAGCACGCCACGATATGTTCAGTTAGACGGTACAGTGCTCCACATAGTCGCTCCTCCGTGGAACATAACTGGACCGCGTTAAGCAGAAACCAAGTCACATCACATCAGCTGTTGTCAAATTTAATTGTGTAATTTAATTTTTTACATGAAAACGGCTGTGCGGATCTTTGTGCAAATTTCAGTAAATTTTCCGCATATTACAAAAAAAAATTCATTAAAATTATCGAAGAAATCCGCACAGACGTTCTCTTGTAAAAAATTAAATTGTCCAATTAAATTCGGCAATTAATAGCTGATGTGACTTGCTTCCTTTCTGCTGAAGGCAGTCCAACTGCCTAACGAGTTGAGCCTTATTGTCCATGTAACCCCATGCTTTCCAGTAGGCCGATTATTGAAATTGGCAGAGAAAGCCATAGACAAAGAAGACATAAGAGATATGGAGAGATTCTATTCGTGGAAGCGGGTGGTTTTAATAGACAAAGGAGGTAGGTAATAGACTAACTAACGGCAACCCACGAGAGACCCGACTATTGGTCTATCATTTTCACCCTTTGTCTACAGGAACTACCCATCTCAACCGATAGGATCGCTCCATACTCCCTATGTCTTCTGTGTCTATAGCTTTGTCCATCAATTTCAATAATCAGTCCGCAGTTTGCGTCAGAGGAGCAACGATAATGGTCGAGCTATTTGGTTCTCATAACCCAACTCCTGAAACATTACCCTTTCAACCAAATCAGAGGAAAATTGTGTTGGATAGGATGAGCCAAGTTCTTGGTACGGAACACCGCAGTATGGTTTGTATGATCAGTCTCGTTCTTCTCTGCAGTATTTGTTGACGCTCGGAAAGCTGGAGCGAGTTGCTAAAGGCTGGGTAAGTTTCTCTCACCTTTTTTCTCCTGGCGCAAGGAGAGGGTGGGAAAAAGTGCACCGCGCTTTGTTGAAACCAGTGTTGATCGACTCAATGCTGTTAAACTCAATTTAAATATCATTTAAATGTATTGAACACCTTTAAAACCAACAAGACGAGCTATCTTCGTCAGTTGACAGCAGTGGCGTGGCGTGCTTTGGAATACGATGGAAAAGATCGATAAAGAGGGTGTTTGCAGCAAACACCTTAATAATCGATCTTTTACTATAGCTTCAAATGGGGAAATATCGACAATCGATCATTAACCTCGCCCCAGGCTGGCAGCACCGCTTTTTATTCATTTAACTCCATTCTAAGAGGTCGATTTTAGGTTAGGCAGCAGGTTTTACTGAGAATCGATTGGTGATTGATATAATTTCGATTGTATTACATTCATTAAAGGAAGCAAAGTTAAACTTTTTTTCAGAATCGCCACTGAATATGAAAGTAAATTAGGCAACCAGATATGTAATTACTCTTATACTGGTCAGATTCATCCGAATAATAGCTTTCAAATGGACGTATATTATAAGTAGAATCAGCGTTACTCTGTATATCAGCCGTTGCCAGATCTTGCTTCATTTTTTATTCATCATAAAGCAGAAAAGTTATCAACATTCTGACTCGAAAGTTTACATTTATATTCCTCAAGATCTAAGAGAGATTCGGAGAAAGTTTCGGGGCGTTATATTGTTTAATTCCCCCTTTAAAAACTAGGAAATTACGCATAGTTAAATGACATTGACCTGATTCTGCTCAAATCCGTCTAAATATATGCTATATCTTCAATGGCCAGACTTAATCATACATCAGAAGTCGCCTAATTTCACCTCATGTTTTATTTCTTATTTATCTGCAAACTAGGCAACGTTATGATTTGACATTTTTTTAAATTTATATTCTTCATTACCTAACAAAAATGTACGTTATGTTGCCTAGTCTTCTGTAAGAAATAAAGGACGAGAGGACGGAAGGCAACTTGAAATTCAGTTGGGATGTGTCTGGGCAAATCCATGTGAATGATATCCTTTAAATGAAGAAAGTAAATGAGAAGCGGGGGGGGGGGGGAGCCGCGTCCCGACGTGGCAATAAAATTGAGCCCCGAAAATGCCAATGGCGTGGTAGGATTACATCAAGTGACTCCTCGTTGCGCAACCAGAAGACAAGATGAAGACCCGACAGACCCGACACCAAGTGCAGAATTCAAGTAGTAGGTGCTAGGCGCGTTGCCAAGCACAGCGCAGCGCGGCGACAAAATAGCGCTCGCGAAAAAGTAACGGCCGTATTCATAATCACGTTTGAAACAACTCCCCTTCTTTGGAAGCCTTGATTTAGGAGTTATCAACATATCATCCTACAGAAGACTGCGTTCCGTAGAAAGGAATCAAGCCAGATTAGCTCTTCCCAGATTTAACACTGAGCAATTTATTTTTTTACACGAGATCGTTTGCGCGTATATTCCTTTGAAAATTTGAAGGAAATGCATCTTTCCTCGTTGCAAAGGAGAAAGATGATTTTTTTTTTTTTTTTTTACAAATTAAATCTAATGATATTTTGTTTAATATTTGGAATATCTATAATTATTGTGTTAATAATTATTAATACGGGAGAATACTAGCCGGACTGTCTTATTTTTGGACACCGTTTTTAAAGAGCTACACGCAGTTTTTTGTAGAAGTTTCCTAGATATTTCCGGAATGATTTAAAATAAAAGCACAACAAATTTCGACGCGATATTTTTGTTTGTTCTGTTTTCTTTTTATTAAACCAAAATTAATTTTACGCAATTCAAGTTTCAGAATCGCTGCATCGTTTGAACATCGTCCGAGTTTCTGAATCGTTGCACTTAAGATACATTTTTACACTATGGTTGGGGTAGAAACCGGGCAGGGGCCGTTAAAGGAAATGACGCGTGGACCTAGTTTTGCGGCGATTTTAGCGTCGCGCAAGCCAGGGAAGGGAGTGCGGTCGAGTGTCAAGTCATCTTCACAGTGTGCATGCACCTTCAATCCAGCTAGCGGCAATGTGCCTATACCTGTAGTCAAATACTTACCGCAAATAACTCTCGCATTGCGTTTGGTGCAATGCCAGAAGTATTCATGCAGTCCTGTAGGCGCTAATATGCGTGTGACGCCGATCGCGCTGTTTGGCGCAATGCATGAAGTATTCCTGCAGTCTTGCA